CTAGTCCTATATGATTGCCGTCTGGGCCAGCCAACTGGGTGTAAAAAATTATTGACTTACAAAATTAACCAACCGACTTTAAACTAAAGGTCATTACGGAGTAGTAGTAGTAGTTCTGGTGAATTATCCTCTTGACTTACAAAATTAACCAACCGACTTTAAACTAAAGATCATTACGGAGTAGTAGTAGTTCTGGTGAATTATCCTCTTGACTTACAAAATTAACCACTGATTTTAAACTAAAGGTCATTACGGAGTAGTAGTAGTTGTTCTAGTGAATTATCCTCTTGACTTACAAAATTAACCAACCGACTTTAAACTAAAGATCATTATGAAGTAGTAGTAGTTCTGGTGAACTATCCTCTCGGATGTAAATATCAAATGACTGTTTGGTTGTTTTGAGTAATTGTGCAAAGGCACGAGGGTTATTTATTCTAGCTAACCCTAATTCAGAACTGATATCCATCGCCAACTCTTGGTCTACTCCAAACGAATATTACCGCACCCGCAGCCCAAACTAGAGGTCACATTTTTTTCTGGAGGCAACAACACGCGAACCATGAACCATCATATACATAATCTGGTACGCTAACCATTGGACCACGCCCGACCTATGCACAACAGATTTTAGTTTCTTAGTTGCGAACAAATTACACAAGAAGTAAAAAAATAAAGCTTAAAAAAGAGGTTTCTAACTGTGATAATAATATGACTAAAACGATCATAAAACTTTGGCCTATGAACGTTCTATACAAAATTGTATTAACATAACTCGTAAATGTAAAATGTTACAAGTGAAAGAAATATTAATAACGATCGACAACAAGCGAGATTTTCTTGATTATGGTATTTTGGCACTTATGTATGAAGTTAAAATCATAAATAATATTCAACGTTAAACTGGTACACAATTATTTAGGCCTATCTATGGCCTTCAAAAAGCTTTCGACGTTACAACGTCATCCTCCTAAATAAAATGTTTTTTATTGTGTACCAGTTTAACGTCGAATATTATTTATGATTTTAAGATTCTCTTGAGTTTTAAAAAGTATACTTTAACTATTTTTAATTTAGAATTTGTATTACTGGAGTGAGTTAGACAATTTGGCAAAAAAATTAGAAAGTAAAAAAAACAGCCTATATTCTCCATATATTAATATAAAAACTTTTTAAATTCATACGGCTGAAATATATATATATATATATATATATTTATTATCTGAAAAGTAAATATTATTTTTTCTATTTTTAATTTATTTTACGAGAATCATTAAACGTATGCCAAATGACAAATAATAGCTGCATAAAATGACACCTGATGTAGGCTTATGTCCGAAACTATTCGTTTTTTTATCTTTTATTCGCGAGTTATTCTTTAGGAGAAGGAGAGGGGGTGAAACTTTTTTAAATTTTAAATATAAAAAAGTTGTTTGAAAATACATACTACTCGCGTACTCTTAGATGAGACTGAAAGAATAAAAATTATCAGTCAGGGGAGTAGCCGGGGAGGGTGAAAAAAGACTAATTCAATATTATAAAAAGTCTGTAAGGTCCACTATCTTCTGATTTCTCTCTCTAAACACTTGACTTTTATGTAAATTACTTAAATTCACTGTGTAGAAAAATAACATAATAACAATGTGGTGTTGGCTATGCCCCTAGCGGTAATTATTGTAGATAATACGTTCAAGTTTCAAAAGTTGTAAACATTAAGAAAATTATATTTTATAGAACATTTTAATAAACTAAGCCTATTCTGGTGCAAGTATATACAATTTTAACCACAGGGTGTCAGAAAAGTCTGCAAACAGACACTTCAACGAGTTCCACATGCTGTTCTTGCGATTGGAAACAAGTTTGGAGAAAGTATTTCTATTCTCTTTAAACACTGGTTCGACACTCGTCATGAATTCATTGTTTCAGATGTTCGATGTCGCTGATAATACGGAACGTTCTGGGATGAATTTTCAAATATACATACACCTTTGAATTATTTAAGTTTAACATGGAAAAAGCTTTAGAGGTTGTCTATTTCTGTTTCTACATTTAGCACTGAGATACCATCATAACCTACACCAACCAGGTTTAATTTGCAACACAAAGAGCGCTAATTTTGGCTCATTATATAATTATTAACCAATCGTCATTAGCTTCTATATTTAGCACTGAGATACCAACATAACATAATAAAACAATTTCTTACATCAAATCAGAAAAAAAAAAGTACTTAAGTACTCCCTACTTAAAATGTAAAACAAAATTTTGGAACTAAGTAAAGTCGTATCCCCCAGACGACAACATTGTTCTATAAAAGTAAAGGAAGTTTATTATAAGATCCTGCAAGCAGTGTTAAAGGAACTGATAACAAACTGTTTCTACTTCAATAGAAACTACGTAAAGAATTTTGACAGAACAATCTTTTAACCTCCATGCTTCCAATTTGCTCTATTTCTTATGGAGCAGCAGAAATAGTGACGCACATACAGTGAGTATAAAGAATATGTACAGCTAACAGTACAGATTATAACTAAATTAAAAATTACAGTAGGGTTAACAGTACAGGTTATACCTTACTAAAATGAAACATTACTGTACGAGTTATACTTTATTAAACTGAAACATTACTGTACAGGTTATACCTTACTAAAATGAAACATTGCTGTACAACTAACAGTACAGATTATAACTAAATTAAAAATTACATTAGGGTTAACAGTACAGGTTATAATTTCTTTTCGGGAACATTGTGCTGCTGTATATATATATAATGAGTAAAAATTGAAAATTAGTTTTTTGATACAATGAAACACATACAAAAAAATTCTAGAAAAAATATACAGGAACATTTTCAGAATAAAAATACTACCTCTGCTAAAGGTCCTCCAGAGGGAAGCAGTAATACATGATGCTGAGGAGCCAATTAATTGTCTTCACTAATAGGTAAGCACAGAGATGAAACAGTTAGAAGGTCTACTATTAATGAGCTATTTGTAAAGATTACATTTAACAATGACAAATTTATATATATGAACAACCCAGAAGGATATTTACAGGAATATGCATTGCAATCTGGTAATAGGTCCAACAGAATTGATGAGGTATATAGACTGGTGCATTGAGAGTGAACATTTTTATCAATGCTTAAAGGGCAGGTAGAAGATTAAAATAGCTTTGTGTGACAGGAGGTCAAAACCATACTGGAATCAGCTATTATCTGAATGCATTATTATGGTAATATTCCAGGCTGTAAAAACTTTTCCTGAATATAGCTGAATATTTCTTCTGAAGTTATAGGGTTGTTCTTTTTTTTCCTAAACCTCATACATAAACAATAAAAATCACAATGATTTCTCCTCCTCACAGCTTTTAATTGGGGGGGGGGGGGGGTAAATTAGACTGCTAGGTTTAAAAGGATGGAAAGTAATAAACAAAAGTAATAGCTATAGATAATTGTACTAAGTATGTTAACGGTAAGTAAAATATTAAAATAGGGATTAGGCTCTTAAAGGATGCTGATGGGAAGGTTTTTGTTGGAAACTATGATATGGCTGAGCTTCTGAATGTTTCCTTGTCTTCTGTATTTACAATATCAGATATTTAATTTCTGTAGTGTATATTGGTGTATAGAAGACATTAATGCTAAAAATAAATAACATCAAAATGTTGTTTTTATTTAATTAGATACTTAACATTTCACTTTTCAACTTATTCAGGAGCATTCATTAAAACACAAACCGAAACTGACAGTACAAAGCTTCAAAAAGCTGGACCCTCGTTACTAGTGGAATGCCTAAGAGTTCAGTATTTGGGCCTTTGACTCTTCTTATTTACCCTAATAGTATTAACAGGGGGGCATAATTAGTAAATTAGTCATGTTTGCTGATAACATTAAACCAGTGGTTCCTAAACTTTTTTCACTGATGACACCTTAACTCACTTGACTTGCGCGACATCCTTGCTGCCATATGCAATATTATTTATGGAATTTTTTTTTTTTTAGGTTCTTAATTATTCTTCTTTTGGTGAAACTCTCACGACACCCCTAACAACTTGCCACGACACACAGTTTGGAAACCACTACATTATAAACTCTTAGGTACTTCTGTCTTTATTGTGGATGTTACAGCTTAGTTTCAACCTTTCAACAGCGAGTACTCTTTTGACTTACACACATATCCATCTTGCATGTACAAAGAGTGATGATTTCTTATTTTGTGTATTGCTGTGAAGCTCAGTTCTATTTTCAGTAAATTAGTTTTTTTTTATAATAATTATCACTTATTATTTGAACAAAGAAAAACCTGTTATTTT